GGAAATGGGAGTACATACGGGATAGAGAGAGCGCCCATGTTCCTTAGTGGCGCTTCTGTTACTGATGTGCAGAGCATGTTTGTATTCAGCCATGCTAAAAAACCGTATCTGTGCCTTTAGTGTTGCCAAAATTCAGGACTATTCTACTTCACATGAAGTTCACTGATCTAGTTCATACCACAGTCACCTAAACAGTTGTAACAGCACAACGGAGCAACAGCACAAATCCTGCCTTAGCCCGCAGACTGAAATGAGTCTCTGGGGATAGGGGAGACAGGCAGACCTTACATCAGTGCTGCTACTGAACACTCTGTAATTCGAAACCACACCCTGAGATGCATTTTCTTAATATTATCAGCCTAAGAAGCTGAAGCTATAGAAGCTATAAATGTTTTAAAACCAATTATGTATTTCTTGCAAAACAGCTGGCTCCTCTAAGGTCCTACTGCATGCTTCTTAAAAGCAAACCTTTAATGGCGTGCAGTTCCCTAAAGACCACTTCCTACCCTTCCTCCAGTAATCTCTCTATATTACTGTAGACTCTGCTTGGCAAGGACTACTTTTTTCCAGAATTTTCTTAACAAGAAAATAACGATACACAAAAGCCATAAGCAGGGCATATAAGCATTGTTATTGCTAGCTATGGCCACATAGCACCAAGCATGGAGGATTCTCAGGGGTGTCTTTTATCCCACAAATCCTTACTTCACCCATAACAAAGGTCTCCTACTGTTTTTATCCAGTCCTACTTACCCACACTACACACTTATCAGCAATCCTATCCACCATTCATAGACATGAACCGGCTAGTGCCTTGATTGTTTCTGGCTGTTGGGAGAAAAAGCTGTGGTGGGAGTCACTATTTCTGGCTTTGGCTGTGGGAAGAGATAGGGTGACCTGACAGCTGTGGAAGGCACCCAGTCTAGAGAAAAGGCTCGTCTATCTTATCTCACACAAGAACTTCTCCTGTGGCTCAGTACAAAGCAACCTTTAATCTCCTCACTTAAATCCTAGAAGAAAGAATGAAGCCTTCAGTCAACTCACCCACAAGTCATCTAAAATCTACACAGGCGATTTCACATAGAAGGATCTTTCTTGATGACTTTGAAAACAGTCAGCTTACAGATAAACGGGACTGTGTTTACCGGAGTCTTAGCCAAGGCTCTTGAAAAGACAGGAACTAAGAAGAGAAGTTTTGTGATCAGGACTCTGATACAGCTCCACATTAACTCTGCTACCATAGCAAGAGCACTTGGTCCTACACGCAACAGAGATGTGTCAGAGAATCCCACCATCTATTCTGCCCTGTAAAGTCAAGCCTCAAATCAAGATTTAAGGTATAGCCTGCATAGAGAATACTAGGTAGCACACCCTCCAAATTGCAAAATGAAACTACATTAGCACACCTAAACATTACTCAAAGCTCAGAGATTTCTCTGTGCTCTACACGCTCTTCTGTATGACAGATGTTTCCATTATTCCACACCCACGTAACTTCATGTCCTGCTACTTGCCAGAGGCAGCCTTGCAAAAGGGCTGAAGGAAATGTGGGGAACTGGCATTTCCCAGAAGAAGGATCTTCAGAGTGATTGGCTGAGAACGCAAGTTTCTCCATGTTCTTCTGCCAGCCAAGGTCAAATTTCCAGCTTTTATCAGGTCTTCTCTGCTGGGGCTCTTCCTCTGACAGAAATGCTTCAGGGAGTCTATCATGAAAGTAGATTGAGCAGCATGAACTGCAATAAGCTGCACAGGTCTTGGAAAGGGGAGAGAGGATTTCATGTCAGTCCCACTAGCCCTGGGAGGCAGCCTCACAGACTCCTGAAGAAGGAGAGAAGGAAAAAACAACTCAGGCTGACGATGGTGCTAGGAAAGCTTCAGTGGAACATGGTGATCCACATTAACCTCTTTTGTCCCTTGTGCTTGAAGGCCACCAAACTTGTAAATGTTACAGTCAGCTTGACAACTCACAAGGTGCCTACGTCAAGATGCACCCTAGTTTATAATGGGAGAGCTAGGCAAGTGGCCACACTGGTGGGACGTGTCTTTGGGAGGCACTGGGCCGGAAAGCGGATCAGGGTTCGGCTAGTATCTTGGCACACAAAAGCTCAAACGTTTAGCAGGCCACAGCACCTTATTTATGGAGCACATTAGGCAGGACTGGCTCTTGGGAGAATCTCAGCCACATCAGCAGGCCCAAACTCCGGCACACAGTCTTGATCAGAGGGCACAAAGAGGCTAGTCCCAAACCTGCTCCTCCCTAGATCAGCAGGCAGCTGATCTAGGGCAGCTCTTCCCCATCACCAGCTAAACCTCTATTCCCAAGAAGTCTGTTTTCCAAAGAGAGTTTCAGCCCTGCAGCCTAATGCTTCTCGGAGAGATGATGGGTCAAGACCCTTAGTTGCGGTGAGACAAAAGGGAGGTACCCTTCTTCTAGTTCATCTGGCTGTGATCCAAGACCTGCTTTTGATAAGGCGCAACTCTGTAACCTTGGCTGAAACATCAGAGAAAACTGGCAAGCTGTGAGAAAGAGCCATGAAAAAGTACACAGAGTAGGGTGATACAAGGCAAGGAAGGTTAAATAAATGAAAGGCAAGACTTTTGAGACAAGGAGAGTCAGCAGCTCAGGGGTTCAAAAGGAGAAACATTGGTGTGAAAAGGTATAAAGATGTAAAGGAAAAGAGAAGTTAGAAGATGGCAATTCAGCAACACTGGGGGTTGGCCTGGGCCAAGGGCGGCCAACCTTTCCACATCTGACTGAGGACCATTTGGCCAGCGAGCCTCTCAGGGTGTCTTATCCAGGTGGTGAGCATACTGATGCTTCACCTTCTGACTTGCTAGACCTAGCTGTCTTTTGCGTGTATTAGTCAACGACTAATTGCTTTGTACGTTTGAGTTGTGCGTATCCTACTGCAGGGTCTCTTTGCATGGGATAGAGCTACCTGAACAAGGGGACCCAGAGAAGGACAGTGTTAGGGGCTGCAGGCAGACGGCTGGCAATTTGGGACAGATGCCAGCCGCCAGCAGTGCTTCTGTCCCGTTCGAAAAGCTAACGCGGGACACCCCGCGCTGCTCTCGGTTGCACTTCGGACACGAGATGGTGGCTGTCCTGTGAGGGGGCACCTGCCAGGCGGCAGTAATGATCTCCCCCCTCACAGCGAGGCGGGGGAAAGGCGACGGCAGCGGG